AACGTATAAACATTTGTCATCTATGTTAATATCTATTATGTAATTACCTACATACTGGTAGTGTTTTGAATGTAAGTTGGTATTTTTATATGCATATCACAAAGAAATTAATTATTATGGTTTTGAAAAATGTTTAATCTTTTACAGTAAACAGTATACAATATAGACAACTTGTTTTTTTTTTTATGGCTCTGGCACGATTTGATTAGGTGTATAGATTTTTATAACTTAATATAAGATGACACCGTGAACAAATTTAAATTAAATTAAAACTTGCCCTCGAACCGAATTCCAAAAATAAGACCCCTGGGGGGGCTAGGAGGCCCCCCACCCCCCCGCCCGCCCAAAAAAAGGCCCGGGGGGCGGGGGGGCCCCCATATAGACAACTTGGTATTATATACTTAATATAAGATGACGTGGAATGCCAAATCACAATTAGTCTTTGTCTACTAGAAAGACTCCCCGTAAAATATGATAATAGGGAACTATCGTTTCGGAGGTAAATGTAATCTCTAAAGTTCTGAAAAAATAACACATAAACGAATATTAAAACGTTACATTACCCGTTATAACAATTAAGATTCTAAATTCCTAAAATTGCAGACAATGTCAGAAGAAATAATAATTATAATAAAAATTTGAAAAAATGTATAATCATATCTCCTGAATAAAGCCAATTACAAATTGGGTGTAGCAATTATGTTTATAAAACAAAGTTTTAAATACATGTAATTAAGATAAATAAACTTAAATAAAAGCGATAAAGGTTATCATAAAAACAGATTCAATTTGACCTTTAATATTGGCGGTCAAAAAAAGTAGATACCTAAATTTTATAATTCATTTGTTACCAAAGCCTGTACTTATAATGACTTTCATGTCGTTCAACAGAAACTTAACAAACATTTTGAAATCGGTGAATAAATAGATGCAACATGAAGGCTGTGTTTTAAAAGCGAATCGAATAAATCGTCTGAAAATAATCAGGTGAAAATGACTTCTGCATAATTCGTCCTTTTTGTGGCCAATGTTGCCATTAGTGGATGCTGGCCTAAATTCCAGAAAAAAACAACATAAAAATTTACGATTATTTGTAAAGAAAACTTCCTAAATAATTTCATGCATTATATATAACAATACTATTATTACAAGTAGGATGTTAGAGACTCTGTGGTCAAATGTGTACCAAGCTCGGATATCGGATTCAAAATCTTGTAAAGGAAAAGCAAGTTATTATTAGCATATACCCACTGTTTATTCAATATCTCTAGTAAGAGATAATATAGGAAATAATTGGATAAATATAGCAAATACACAAGTACAGATGTGCCTATAACTCATTCCCGATAAAAAGGCCACTTTGAAATTATCACATTCTTATAAGATAAAAATAGTTATTAATAGTTTCGCAAAAATAATAACTACGTCGAAAGCTAAAACTTATTCCAAGAAAAGAAATGTCATATTTCCCATATTGTTAATTGCAATTTTATAATGAAATTTTAATATGAATGCTTTTAAATAAAATATAAAAATCATTAAAAATATTATTTTTCTGGTCCTGTATTTTGACACTAACCTTAACTAAATTATTCACGAAAAGAGTTAATACTGGCTTTCACGTTCACCTGAAATATTCTTAAGATTGTATAAACTTATTTCGGGCAATTTAATTTCCGACAAAAATATTACTTCAGTTTTGCAACTACGACGTTAAACATGTATTTCTCTTATTGGGTCAATCAAAATGGAAAGCAGAGTAAATAAAACATATTGCATAATATAAAGTTAACGTTTCATACACCAAACAGACCCAGTTATTGCGGTTGGTGTATAACAGCAATAAACGAGAAACAAAATGACACTGTAATTGGTAGCGATAAGATGCCGATATGTACAACGTCAACCCATCATCTTGACATCCGTTACTACTCTGAAATTACGTATTATTTGTTGTGTAGGAAAATTAAGTTTAAGGATAGTAAAACAACATTTTTACCCGAAATTATTGTTTAAATAAAAAACACAGACAATTTTTTTATAATCTATGGTAACTAAATACAAACATAATAATTTTTTTATGTATTCGGAGCAAAGTGAACACGTGAAATGATTTTTTAGTCGCAAGTAATAAAAAATATTTTGTTATGTAGAAAACCATCATTTTTGATTTGACAGAAATTGATGCTGCTGGTTTAACGAAATTTAGTTAAAGTAATTGCTGAAAAATTTGCTAAAAAGCTTCAAAAAAATGTACGAAAAGAATGTTTATCGCAAGTATTTAAGTATGTGCATTATAAATGAATTATCTTTTATCAGTCCTTAAGATATAACTGATTCATATTCAGAATGTTTGTAAGATATTTCGAAGTAAAGACTCGTGATACAGAAGAAGAGCACGATTGTGCAGAGATTACGTAAAATTTCAATGTGGTCAGGTTCAGGTGTTCAATTAATAAATACTACCCTCAAACAAAAAAAAGTATCTAAAATAACATGTTTACTGTTCAATTGACTAATTAATATCACTCGAATACAACAATCGTATGAAGTAGAAAAACAAAAAAAATAATAATCAATGTTTTCTTCAATTCAGACTTTAAACTATAGTTCAAGAATAAGATATAAAATAGTAAATATCATTACCTATCGTTGTTTAATAAAATTAGGTATCTATGTATTTAAATACTACACAGCAATAAAGTCAATCCATGACCAGTGTCATCGTGTGGGCGTCTCCTCAAAACATTTAAAGCATATGTAGAGACAAAAGTATATTTGTCAACTCCACAATATTATAAATGTTTATAGCTAAGGTTAAAACTGTGCTACCTTCATCATAAATTTGTCTTGATTTATAAAAAAATACAGATAAAATAATAGAATCTATAGATTCAAGATGGGACGATGATAGATAAACTCTGTTACTAAAATATTTATTTGACTTATACTTTTTATTATTATTTGTTGGTTGAACGCGCTAAGCTTAGGGAATAGATTATTTTAGCTAGGGTTCAAATTGAAATTATTTTGTGTTGTGTTGGATAGTCCGTTCAACGAGGACGCCTGGTGTTACGCTACGACCAAATTTATGAGGGAAAAACCCCGGGATACAGCCAGTTGTATTTTCGTTACATAACGACTTACAAATTACCTACTAATTAATTTACGATTAGTTAACAATCTATCTTATGCAGGAGGTATTACAACACACGCAATTGTTTATAATTAAACATCACAAGCCAATCATTAGGACTTAGGAAGACTGAATAGCTAAGTATAAAATTATCAGAACTAAAATACAAATTGTAAGTCGCGCACATTGTTTTCCTTTTACCTCATTGTTGGATAATAAACGCCGAGTTATTATTTTGCGGTACGTTGACTAGTTTCCTGCAACATTTGTCTGTAGGATATTATTTATTCGACTAAAAGACGAATAATACAAATCGTATAATCAAAAAGGTTTACGTAAAATGTTTTATTGGGAAATAAGATATATCTTGACGCAAGTAAAAAAAATAAATCAGTGGCGCTACAACCTCTTTAGGTCTTGGCCTCAGATTTCTGAATCTTTTTCGTGATCATTTTTAAATCTAATAGGCAAGTAGGTGATCAGCCTCCTGTGCCTGACACACGCCGTCGACTTCTTGGGTCTAAGACATGTCGGTTTCCTTCACCGTAAATGTACTTCACTTCAAATGTAAAATGCACACATAGAAAGAAAGTGCACAGCCGGGGATCGAACCTACGACCTCAGGTATGAGGGTCGCACGCTGAAGCCACTAGGCCAACACTGCCCTACTACTACACTTCACGCAAGTAGGTAAATAAATATAACTTGTATATCATTTGAATGACGACTTAATCTACATAGACGATTAAAAAGAACAATAGGTTATTCATTTATTTGAATAGAAATATTTTTAGATAATATATTTAGAATAATACAAAACAAATATGTATTTTGATTTTTACGAATTCATTTAATTTTAAATAAATTATGTATAATATAAATATCAACCGAATGTTATTGAGTGACGAATCACCTTCTCCAATAATAATGTAAGTAAACAGTTCCAAATACATATTGTTATGTTAATTTTATACATTACATATGTATTTAATTTCACTTCACCTTAAGGTATCGTATTTTGCTTTGTTATCTAAATTACTGGGCAACAAATATAAAGCATTACGTAGGAATCTTTTTCGAAGAACTCTGTGTTAAGTTAGAGCGGATCCATGTGCGTGGGTGAATCCCATGTGCTCCAATACAACTATTTATATACTACGAATTGGTTAATTTGCTTATCACAATAGATTTTACTGAGTGAATAATTACGGGTGAACGTAGGTTCACTTAAGATGTAAGACAGATCGTAACAGTTGGTCGCAGTGACCTCGAAGTTTACGTTTCAGTGCGGAAATGAAGGTTAATCGTTTAGTCACAATTAATATATTCTCTCGGAATTAAAAAAAAAACCAATAAATTTATCGATGAGGAAGTAGTAGAAACTAAACGAAACGAGTGTGTGCGCTGCGATTGATAACTTTTATTTGTATATTTATTTATTATTTACATTAAGCAAACAGTAAAAATATTACACTGTATGCAAGAAAATCTTTTCATCATCATCATCAGTAATCTAAAAAAACGTCACTAAATTGAAATTTTATAAAGTCCAGTAGGAAGTATAAAAACTTGTAATACAATCACAATTTGGGACTGATTGTTATTTTTAACATGACTGGTTCTTACTGAGTTTATAAGATCAAGTATTTTTGTCTTAATAATTATGACTTCTCAAGCGGAAATAATAAATCTCGTAACGCTTAAATAATAATTGAATGTCATCAATGCCGTTTCCACTAACGTAGGACCAATATTGGTTTTGGCCACGCGAAAGCCTTTTAATGATTTAATAATTACCTATTTCCATGATCTCTGAAAATGTCAGCATGACCTAAACTGGTTGCCAATATTAAGTACAAGGGCAATGGTAAAAATTGGACACAGTGTGCTATGTTTTTCTGATTTTTATTGTAATTGTACACGTACTAGAATAGTGTTAGCATTGTGGGCGCGTGATTCTCAAGCCAGAGATCGTGTGTTCGAGCCCGGCTGTGCTACTGCGTACTACTCATACACTTGTCCTAAAGTAAAGGAAACAGGTACACAAATATGGAGCCAAGACCAAAGTTTGCGCCACTGGGGTTTTCTGGTCCTATTTTAATAATTTTAAATGATTTCCACCGACTATAATATTTGCAGATCAAACACAGTTAAAGAGAACTTATATTTTTTGATTATAGGTCCCGTAACATGGCTTGAAAAGTTCCCAGAAGCAAGGGGTGCAAGACAAAGCCCCGTAGACATAGTGACATCTAGATCTAGTAACAGCGGTAGTGTTCCACCTCTTACTTTCCGGTACTCCGTCCATCATCCACGATCTATCGTCAATCCTGGTTATTGTTGGCGAGTTGATGAAAATGGATACAATTCAGGTAATACTAGTAACAGCATCTAGATACGAACTATAATCTTATAAACCCGAAAAAACTGAACTCTCCAGCAGAGTTTTATAAAACGATTCAAACTTGCTTTACAACGTTACCATTGACTGTTAAGTTCCTTGTTATCTATCTAACCCTTCCTTACATTTTTGAAACCATTATGTACTTGCTACTTCTATGCTTACTACTTCTCCATAACGATAATGTTATTCTTTACTCGCATTATTTACGCGTTATTAAAACATTTACCTTATCGAATATTCAATGAAAATGTTCATACGCTCTATATTCTGTTGTCTTAAAATAATGTGAACCAAATATTTTATGGAACGTTTTCCTTATGGGATAGTGCTTCGCTCGTAAAAATTCATAACCTACCTAATTTCATTTTTTTGCAACATACAATGTATTGAGGTGTACCTCAAAAAGCAATATCACCAAAGTAACTAGGAAATGCTCCAATAATATAGGAACTGATATTCCTAGTTAAAATGTACCAAAGTAGATTATTAAGCAAATGTTTTTAAAAATAAATACAAGTTCATGTTTAATCAATTTTACATAATCTAACCTAACCTTTGCATCATGTATTTTATATAAAAAAATAATTACCAAATACAATTTACAAATAACAGGTAGCATTTAATGCGTTTAAAGGTATAAGGGAAATACCTTACACATCGTTTCCAATAAATTGTCACTTGAGGACAGTAAGCAGTTTCGTCAAATTGCATCGATACGAAAGAATTTTCCCAATCTACATCTATGACGCATCTACATCCCATTAATGTAATAGATTATATATTTCCCTTCTTAGCCCTACTTACATATTTTAATAATAGATTGTACCAGCCTCAATTCAACGAACAAGAAGCTGATGTCGACGAAAATAACATTTATGTTAGTGTAGTTAAATTCAAACCCTTTTATTGCGGAGTATAAACGTAATGTTTTAAAGTACTTATTTGTTTAAAATATTGTTTTTTTAAATATCATATGTCTGACCAAAAATATATTGTAACGGTAGTAATATATCTAGATGTTAACAAACTTCTACATTATACATATAAGCATATGGAACCGACTTCAATAATGGTCTTAACTTTTTATTTTCTCTACGTTTATTTTTGATCAAATTCTAGAATGACAACGGGTTTTAAAATACCTAGCTATAGAAAGTTCCTCGTGGCTAATTAAATTTTAATAAATTACAGAACTCAGAGGTGGACCACTAGGCTCTGACGTCTATAAACTTCAACAATGGCATTGCCATTGGGGTGCCAAAAACGGGGAGGGATCAGAACATACAGTAGACGGAAGATCATTCTCAGGGGAACTCCACTTGGTTCATTGGAATACTAGTAAATACAACAGCTTTGTTGAGGCAGCTGGACAAGCAGATGGACTTGCAGTTCTTGGGGTATTCATAATGGTAAGTTTCACAAAATAGTGTCGGGTTTTATTATTTATATATTTTAATTGTAAGTTATTTTTATATTTTAATCCAATAAAAAGAAGAAATAAGATTAATAATTCGATATAACTACTTACACACCGTATTGTCCTTATACCAGTAATACATTTTTTAATTCAATTTTAAATTTATATAAAGGCGAACGCTTCACGTGGTTTAAAGAATTATATATATCAAGTGAGGCGTTATATTCAGCAAAAAGTCTCTCGCTGTTTTATCTAATATAAAAGTTTTAATTAACTAACTTTTATTTTTTTATAATCCTATAGATACGAAAAATCGATAGGTTCGTTTTTTACGATATATTTTGGTGTATGTTTTTTTAATAGCAGTTAGACACAAGTTATAACATTGCCAATGCACTTCATTACTTATGTAAGTCATAAAGCAGACATTTCCACTGCATCCTGGCTGCAGTCAGATCAAATGATGATGATTGAGAGCATCCGTTATATGCATTCAATTGGAGCGCGTGATATTAACCCATTCAACTCTTTAAATACCGAAATGAATGTTGTACACTCTCTCGACTTCCGAATGCTACTTTCACTTCAAGCAAGTGCTTGATAATTATTTTGATTGCTAAAATAGATTTGCGACAACGTAATTTTGAATTAAGCTATAAAAGCTGGCTGCGAATATCCTCTGTTGTTGCTTATGGAGTTTTAGATCATTTTCGATGGAGATAATATTATACTTAAGCGTCAAAATTTATAGGAATTGTCAAAGAAAAATGAATACGGTCGTATATACTTTGTACTCTATATTATACATTACACGTCAAAGATTTTAATGTCTAGGATATTCTTAACAGTTTTAATATTCTTTACTAGTTAAATTACATCGTAATTAATAATCTTATACATCGGAAAGTACACTTTTTTGTTATAAATACACTTTTAAATCGTTAAACGGTTTCCTAAATTTTTTGTACATGAAGAATACAAAATAAATGTTATATGTATTTATTAAAATGTACAATGTTTCTGGGTTATTTAAACACTCCAAAAGCTTATATCAAAACAACTTCACCTACTTTCTTTGCAAACAATATACTTAGCTTGTAAGCTGATAGAGCAGTCAGTGTCCGAATATCCAAAATACATTCTCTAACATTCCAACAACATAAGGTTAGGATTTGTGAACATTAATGTTGCATTATAAATTATGTAACCTAAGTATACAAGAAGCCATGCAACTCAATCCTTTTACCGCGTCAAGTTCATAGTTACATAGTGATATCAGTGTCTATTCTCATACAAAGATAACTAGATCTAATTATGCATTGCAGTACAGATTAATATTATAAAATTGTGGTGGGAGGATGGTGTACTGTTCCTCCAACCTAAAAGAAGGATCCAACCACTTAATACCACTGCCTGGCCGGCCCGAAGGCCCCGAAGCTAAGGTCGCGAAATTATGCATATCTTTAGCGGTCGGAATAACTTAGCGCATTTCAGGGTATGACGTCATCGCCCTGATTGTAGCCGCAGAATATAGGTGTCGCTAAAAACAAATACTTACTTGAAAATAAAAATTTAAATTTTAACCGACTTTACCAAGTAGAGCTGCTTTAGTCTATACTATAAATTATTGACTGTGGTTTTGTAAAAACCTATGATTAATAAATCAAACGGTAAAAACCTGTCTCCAATTCTATACTATACTCTTAGGTGATTATTTGAATAGTACTTTTTAACCCTTATTTAAATTGAAAAACATTTATTTGAAATATAACAACTTACTATCGAAATAACCGTTTATTCGACATGAATTTCAAATTATTTCATTTCATAAGTAACGTAAAGTACGAACCCTTATTCTTCATTTCATTATTGATGTTCGCAAAGAGAGAATGGTTACATCAACGCTGAATATTATGAAAGTTGTACACAAGCACAGTAGTAAATGACGTAACGTCGTAGAGTTATTTCCAATTTGTCTCAATTAAAGTACATTAATTTTAAAAAATCAGCACGACGATACATCGTTAGTTAAATTAGAAAAAAACTAATTTCGGCAGGTTCTGCATCGAATGTTTTATGGGTAAAATGCACTGTGTTTTGGATTTAGTTATAATTTCAGTGAGACAACAGCGTGAGATTAAAGAAAATAAATTATCGCTCTCTATAAGCAACGATTAAATGACTGTAGAGCCTCGTACTATGCTATACACAGCCGTTACAAGTTTTAAATATATTACTATTGTACTTTCAGGTTGGTTCAAAACATGAAGAATTGCACAAGGTCGTCCGACTTCTGCCATACATTCAACATAAAGGTGACAAAGTAACAATGTCGGAGGCCTTGGACCCGGCCAACCTGCTGCCCAGAGGTAGTGGCTATTGGACATACCCTGGCTCTCTAACAACACCACCGTGCACAGAATCAGTCACATGGATATTATTTAAACAACCCGTAGAAGTCTCCGCTGAACAGGTAACTAGAATATCTTTTATTGTCTATGGATAGATATAAAAATTTTATTCATATTCTCCGTCATTTTTATTTGCTTGATTTACAACTCAGAATTTGATGGAGGCTATTAAGTGGTTATGATTATAAAAGCGGATTTATATAGCCAGGTAATCAAATCACTTATAAACTAATAAATCAATCTTGTTTTTCAGCTGGCATTAATGCGTAAACTCCGATGTGGTGAAGCTTCATGTGGTGAAGAAGCAATGGAATTGCTCCACAACTACAGGCCAACACTACCACTTGGCAACCGTGATATTCGTGACATTCGTGATTATGGAGGACATTAAACAATAACAATCATTTCCCTTGTGCCTTTGGATAACGTTAGCAGCTACACAGTAAGATACTGTAAATGTGTTTTAGGAATCCCTTCCTAGTACGCACTCAGTTAACGCACTCGTAAGAAATACATTGGTGTGTATAAAGATATACAAAAATGCGGTAACATTAATATCTCCTTATAATATATTATATATGGATGATCTGCCAGATCTTATAGCGCAGGTCGCGGCTTCAAGTTAATAAAAAACTTAATATGGACGGAAAATGTATAATTTCGTTTACTAACATATATTAAGCGTAATTGGATAAAGGCCAAGTTTGGATGAATATTTTTTTATTGTTTTCAAAGTAGATATAAATAAGACTTAATAAATTGATAATACTATAGCAAGATGCTAAGTTATTGTTATTCGTAGTGTCATAGAGTTTTTTCAAATGTTTACTAATGTCATCTTGTAAGTAAGCGTTTTAAAATGTATACCTTTAAGATCTGTTTAGATTGTTAGTTATTTATTATAAAGTATGAACATTATATAAGTCCTTAAGTACAGAGGTACAAAGTACCGCATCGCAAAAGCAGCTATGGTTTATATAAAATACGGGTCGAAATATAGGTACCTACCGTCTTTTGAGGCCTTAATAAATAATAATAAATGTGCCTTAATAACTATACAAATGGTTCATATTAATAATTGTAGAGAATAATACATACTTCTGCTATATTAATAGATAGTTAGTATGCAAGTTTTAGTCAGGGTCGTAATTTGTTATTTTAGATTAGTAACGTCAGCATGCATTTTTTTAAGCTTAAGTAATTTGTAAGTATTACATTTGCAAGATGTGAATGCAATAATTAACTACGTTTAATTTTTATTGGTATAAATATTCTATTTTAAATGCTTATATTTGGTCCAGTTCTGTAAGAATTGTGCCACCCATTAAAACTAATAAAACTCATCTATCCAAGATCTTATTTATGGTTTTAATTTTCATCCTGTTGAATTTAGATATCGTATCTAAATGGTAAGTAAATACGTCTACTGAGCCGGGGCCCGGGACTATACCGATATTTGTGTTTGAAGTATTTTAAAAATAGCTAGCAAATTTGACGTTGTATTTTAGAGCAATAAAACGCTTGCGGACTGCGATAAAAATCGCAATACCTACAATGACTGGCTTTTCGACAGTCGTCGCCCCTGGTCACCTCCCACGTTCCGAAAAATATTTTTTTGGACAGTGACAATTTCGATATCATTTACTTTTCGCTGACGTTTTATTATTTATAAAAAATATTGAAACTTCAAATAAAAATAAAACAAGACCCGGCTGTATGGACTAAAGTCCTTTGCCTTTTCCATTAGGTATAAATTAATATCATCATCATCAAATAAAAATAAGTAATAAATAATAAACAATATTCTACTTTAAAATCGAAACATCTGTACACCCTTGGATTAAAATAGTCAAAGAGGATATGAAAACATACTTAAGTAGGCATTTTTCATATTTTGTAATTTGTTGATAGGCACCATTCATGGCAGATAATGTGGTATTGATTAAGATATAATTGTATTTTGTTCCATATATTCACAATGGCAGTGACGGCCGGGACATATTATATTATCTATTCATGTTACTTGATTTTTTTGTATTTGGCTGTCAAAGTAAAATTTCAACAGAAAAAGATATTTTGTCGATTTTTTCAATCCACACTGTTTTGTTATTGACGTGACAACGTCTTATAATTCGATGGAGCCGGCTGCACGCACGAAAAAACATGACTCATACGGCGTTACCTCTGGGGCGTTCCATTTAAGGCTTGAAGTGCAAGCGAGAGCGCGACAAAGAGGCACAAAAATTGACATAAATGTATTTATGCGTACAAATACATGTAACTTGATCAATTCAATTGTAATTTCCATTTACCTCCTCTATATCCATACAAAATATCTATCAAACAAATAAAATTTAAATTTTCTTTTGAAAAATGCAACCATTCCATCAATATTTTCTTATGACGTTTTCACGTTCAACTATCGTCAGTAAACCGTCTTTACAGACAACCGATTTTTTTTAAAGGTTATTTCTCTTTCTCTATAGTGTCCACTAGTTTAATGGCCTTAAGGCATAAACTCATCTTCTCACGTAAGACTTAGACAAACTACTCGTTTAGACACAGGTCTCGCCCCACGATATAATTTGGTCGACCATTCTTAACATTCCAACAAAATTTTGACGTATACTGTTGATATATCCGATGATTATCCCCTTGACTTAAGCGTGGTGTGCTGGCTAGCGCCCTGGTAATACAGGGCGGAACGGATCCGGGCATTTAGCCCTTGATGAGGGCTGCAGCTCGCGAGTAGACAGAGGGCTTGAGTAGCAGTGCACAGCCGATGTCTTGATATGTTTTTGTGAGGACCTAGGAGCGATGCTCGACTCGGTCCTGAGGTCATGTCCGGAGGTGTCAAATACGGTGGTAAGGAGTATTTTCGAATTGGCCCTGGTGTCACGATAGGTGGTAGCGGGAAGACTCCACGGGCCGCTCGTTGTTAAGCCCCGCTAGCCTAGCGGTGGAGGCCCAACGAGGCGACCAGCGGTCACAGCAGCGGTTCCTGCCCTGGTGTTGTCAGTACCCGCGGAGAATAGCTCACGCGGGTACCGAAGGCGATCTGGAGGCCTGGAGTACCACTGCCGATGTTTTGTAGGTGGGGATACTGAGAGACATTCACTTGATCGAACATCCCCTTCAAGAGCCGTGCGACGAACTTGTCGATGCCTCACGTAGCGGGGGGCCTCCACTACGCACTGTTTCGTACGGCGCAGACCCCCAAATAGGTGACTGGTCTTCGACGGCACGTCTTGATCCAGGAAGCGTAGGGGTTATGGTAGCCTACCTTGGCCGAAGGTGATCGCCTGAGTCTTGGTCGGGTTCGTGGTGTCTCCACTTGTCTAACCACTCTGGCAGGAGGTCCAGAGTGCGTTGTATCTTCGCCGCAGTGTGCTTGATACTGAGCGGTTTAGCCACGTATGCCATCGGCGTACGAGGGCTAGAGTGCACCCCGTCGGGTACCGGACGTCATCGGTGTTGTGGTAAGTCGCAAGACGCCCGCCGTGATAGGTCGCTGACTCAACACAGCCTCTCCCGTCACAACGTAGAACATGCGATCGGTGAGAAAGGCGCGGTGCACGGAGACTATACGGCGGGGCAGTTGAGACACGAAAGCATTCTCCATGTCCAGCCAGGGCCGCGCCGCCCATGTGTGCGAAGTGTGCGGTGCACACAGGCGCTGATACAATAAGGGCGCCGCCACCGAAATTATTTATACTACCTACAATATTCTTACTACGTTTGAAGTTTCATTTTACCTTTAGGTTTTAGTTTACATTAATTACTCAGAGCTTAGCGAATCAAAGAAAGGCCGCTGGTACCGCCGTGGTTTTTGAGTGTGTTTATGTCTTATGATTTCAATAATATGCCGACATACCTTGATAAAATCCAAAATGAACTATTTTTATACTCGGTAACCAAATTCAACATTTTATTTTAAATTTATGTCGAATTAATAAATATTTTTCAATAATACTGGATTGTACTACTGACGTTTCACACGAAGAGCAAATTAGTATGATAATAAGATTTGTCAACTTTAACATGTAAACTAGAAAGTTAAGAATAAGAGAGCATTTCCTAGCTTTCCAATTTATAATAGCCTTTCTGCTCAATCGTAGATACAACTGGCGCTGGAGTAACGTCATTTATAATAGAAAAACTAAACGAAATTAATTTGGACATAAAGAACTTAAGGGGCAAGGCTATGATAATGGCTCAAATATGCGCGGTAAGAATATTGCGGGATGTACGAGTAAATCTCCGCACTTTTTATGTCCGTGCGCCAGCCATAGTTTAAATTTAATAATAAATGACGCTGCACATCTCATACAGACTGCGTTTTTAATATTGTGCAAGAACTATATAAATATTTTTCGTCCTCTACTAAAAGATGGGATTTATTACAAAGATATGTCATAAATCTGACCTTAAAAACGGTTAGATAAAAATAACATCATAAATAAACTATGTAACAATTTAATTCGTTTTATTTTTCACGGCAATTGGCCAGCGGAGTTTTACCTATTTAAGTGGATTAAACTAAAGAAAAATTTTCTTTCAGTCAAAATTAAAAAATACATTGAAACTTGAAGATTCCTTAAAAAATAGGCCGAAATATAGAAGGAGTTCCTCAAAGGCCTGCAACACACCCGCTAAAAATGTCTATGAGATTCAATGACTGCCATTTTTTCCGTCCCTAAGGCTCGTTTGACCCCTATAGAAAAAGGAGGCGCTTCATGGGTTTCGCACACAGGCGCTGCCGGGGGTCGGCGCGGCCCTGTGTCCAGCACAACCTTCACATCACTTCAGCATCATCCTTTTTGTTACGGTCGCCGCTGCAGTGTAGAGCACCTTTGACAGCTGCAGCATCGTGCTGTGCTCGCCGCGGAATTTGAACTTTCGGCACTCGGCTGCAGGTTCATTTGTGTCCTCGGCAGCAACAGCCACTCGAACTGCTTCGACTCCGTCGAAAGCAAGGTGATGGATCGATAGCTTACGGGTCGAGTCCTTCCCGGGCTTCGATAGTAGGATCACCTTGCACCTTGCCCTCTTTCCGTGTCCTGGGGAAGTTTACGAACCGACGAATCCCCGTGAAGAAGCGCGCCAGCGCGACTATCCACCTCATGGTCAGATGACGCAGTGCCTGGTGGGTGATGCTACCGGTCCTGGAGCCTTCCTGAGTCACAGATGAGAGATCCTCTTCCGCACTTGTGACGGCGAGAAGATCTGAGAGTCGTCGGTTGGGATCGGGGATGATGTCGCGGGGTTCGGCGACAATACTTCTCGACAGTGCTTTTATACTACGAGAAAATCCCATTCCATACAGTGCCATAATCATTCATCGGAAAGTAACTTCTTAAGTCTTAAGTTTAAAACTTGTTTACATAGTAAAACATATATTATTATTAGTTTTCTAGTTATGTTCTATTAGCAGTTGTTTGTTTTGTGTAAATATTGATGTGTTATCACAGTCTGCTTACGGCCAAAACCAATATGCAACCAATCCAATTTTACGTCATAGACTGACAATTCAACCATTTCTAAAGAAGGCCAATATTAAATCCATGGACTGAGATTGAGATACCAATCTAATTATTCAACCAATCGTTCAGAGGGCGGATAAGAGATTGAAGATTGCCCTCTGTATGAAAATGAATGTTTACTCATGCCAACAACCTATCTGTCCATTTTGACAGTTGCTTCGATTGGCCAAATCAATCTCGGATTGCTATCGGTGAAACTCGTATGATTTGGGTTTGGGATTGCGACCTAACTTAATATTCATTGGGAAAATTTATTCATCTTCGTCATCTTCCAGTTCTAGTGATAGGGATTTGGAAGTTTAAATGCAATTATCGGATTGGGATAGTAATTCTGAAGCTGGAAGAAGACAACGTACTTCTGTGCGAAGACATAAGAAGACAAGAATTAATGATGATGAACCAGCTAATGATATTGATCAAAGCGCAATTGATAACGTGGGAAATGCAAGTGTGCGAAGTAATCTTATAAGTGATTATTTTGCTTTATTACTATAATATTTTATAAATTACAACATTTTTGAGATAAATTAAATAAAAATTCAATGCTTTTATTCAAATAAAAATACAAATGTTTAATACAATACATCCTTGCTCCAGGCACAAAATCATTTTTTCTATGGCCCATAATTCTCTTTTATGCTCTCTTGCTTCCTCTTCAAATGCCCATTGCTTTCTCTTATTTAGAAGCTCTTCCTTTCAATTGACTTTCAATTCCTTCGACAGACAACAATATCATGTCTTTGACTTTTTCCTCGATAGGGGTAAGAGGAGTAGCAGCACTAGGGCCACCTAGATTGCTGTCAATCTTTTGTCAAATAAACAATCGGATAGCAGAAATGTTTATTGGCATGTAGATTGGAGATCGGTCTTTAGATATGAATCAGTCCAAGATTGGTTATAATCATAGATTGAGGATACATTATTAATTTTGGCCGTTAGTCGAGTTGTATAAAATTTGTCGACACGAGCTGTTATTTTCATACAAATTTAGTTTTCGATTTTCTACATACACTACTGTTAAGGCACCTTCTTGACTAGCCCCATATTCTCGTCTGACAATTTTCAACCTTTTCTCAACTAAAGAATCTGACAGTGTCCAGTGATGTCAAATTTAAATTTAAAAATATTGTTCTAACGTCTAACCGTAATCACAAGGTTAAATGTTTACGTTCCCTTAAATTGTGTTTTAAACTTAATCTGAATTTATTTTAAAGGTAAAATATAATAATAATTTACATTTACGTGTGGTGGTACTTTGTTTATCTAAAATTGCACTTCAGTTGCAATAAGTATACAAGAAGAACACGAAAGTTTACGAGTAATTCGGAATAATGAAAGTTCTTCAGAAGAAAATCCAATTATCGAAAGACATTAATCAATTAAAGGGTCATTTTCTATACCCTAAAGTCGTAATAATTGAAAATGCTAAAACAATTATAGTCATTGATCTGCAAATCGAAGAACTATTATCTTCAAACAAGACTTACACATTTTGTCATGAAATAGTCCAACACATATTTGATGGCTATTTTCTTTGGGTGGCACTCAAGTCATTGGAAGTATTTGTTATAAATTTAAATACGAATTCCATGTTGAAATTGATTGTCAATAATTTTGCTAATTATAAAATCTGCGGATTTGAGAGTGATGAAAGTAAGTTAATACTTATAAGCGCAAGTGGCGAGAGGCTATTAAATCCCTGTACTAAAGAGGAGTTATGTGCAAAATTTGATAATAATGCAGAAGAAATAACAGTATCCCTTCAGAAAGTATCCCCTCCTTATAAATTTAAACCTCTCCAGAAATTTTATAAGAATGGCTTGCATATATCTGTCCAAAATATGAATTTATCATTAAAATGTCCTGTGACTGGACTAGTGGAAAAATTGTTAACAAACAAAGATTTAGAATTTATTGTTTCATGGGACGATGCCGCTGTTTTATCAACTAAACAAGAAATGTGGATGATAGATTTAACACATTTTAATAAATTGGTAAATTTTGAGAAAGTTGAATCTCATTATATCCCTTTGGGTTCATATGATAATATTTTTTATTATCTTACTTGGGATACAGAAGTAAGTAAATTTTTAAATTCTCTATATTTCTAAAGACTAATAGTTATGGTAATCAGTATACAGATTAGTTGTATCTCAGAGCATGCATGTGCATGTGTGTGATGTTTATAATGTTGTTTTACAACTTAAATAAGCCAGAATTTAAATAAAAATGCTAAAAGTTTCCATATGAAGGAAGTAGTATCACTTCCTTCATATGGAAACTTTCTTCAGCATATATCTGCTATTAGGGATAAATGTTGAATTATTAACTGGATGACAGCAGATGGTGGAGATTAATGATAAGCTATTACTATTATGTATAATATTGGCAAACATCTAAAATATGAGCGATTTTTAATTCTGTTTAGCTAACTTTCCTGAAGCAAAATAAGTAACTAACAGTGCTTAGATGCAACATTTAATAATCCACAATGGTAGATTAGCAAATCATCTAAAGAATGGTGCAACTTACCTATGAAATTTAATACCGACTTAATTATAACTGAGTTGGGGAAGCATAGGGTATTGAATAGGTTTTTTAATTTCTTCATTTTTATTGAAGTCTTTAAGAAGTATCTTATTAATGTGTTAATTATTATTTATCAACTAATCTGAGTATGGTTGTATGTTATTGTTTAATGCTAATAACAATAAAATATTAATTAGAATTTTAATATGCTTATTACAAACTTTTTAGGTTCAAATATTTTCCACAACTTTGAAGTATAATGAGAATCCACAATTGAAGACATGTACAACACCTATGCAAATATCACAAGAAACTTTGAAGGCACAGTTGAAGTCTTTAATACAGGAGGTAATTGCTGCAGATACAAAGAATGTTTCAGTTCAGTTACAAAACTTATTCAATAATATTCAGGATTCTTTATTTTTAATTGAAATGGCTGCTAAGTTATGTAAACATAACATTTTATATAAATCAATTGTATGCTCCATTCAAAAAAAGGTTTTCTTAATGGAGGATATCACTGTGACAAATGCATTCCATGACTTAATGATAAAGTTAGATCTACTTGAGTACATTTATTTTAGACGCATTACACATTACATTGATATGGATTTATTTAAAATGAATATCATAGAGATGTGTGAATTGTTTGTTTCAAAGTCAGATTTAGATTTAGCTTCTATTTGTTGGTTGAAATATTCAAAATTAAATAATACTACTACTGATGATGACATTATGAAAATCTTAAATGCTATCCCTGTAAACATAAAATTAGGAGGACTTGTAATATGGCTTCGTAATTTTATACCAACCTTATTAGATGAAAATCCATTTAATGTAGATCTTATTGCTAAGTGGACGTCTGAAAGGATATTTAGTTTAGAACAATCAACATTTTGGCCTAAAATTGGTTTAAAATATTTAGAAGCCATTTTAGAAGTTTTTGAATCATCTCAAAAAACTATTACAATAAGACCTATTTCAATTGATGATCTTGATATCCTAAAAGATCACATAAAATATATCATTGAATTGAAGGAAAAATACAAAATTAATATGTTAATTACTGAAATAACTTCTCAAAGTCCAACGGAAGTAGCCCTTATTATGTTAAGACGATGTTATACTGAAGACTTAGAGCACCTACTAAAAGACAATTTAACAGCATATGCAAATCGATATCAATTTGACTTAGATTTAACAATATGCTCTTTCATTGAGATGCAAGCTGCAAGCAGTGGAGGCAGTGTAGATGGACAAAGACTGGAAATTTTACTTAATTCAATTCACTCACTTTCAAATAGATTAGAATGCTTTTTACAAGTTTTAAAATTTTTGGATGTACCTTGGGATCCCAAAATTGAAGAAATTGCTAAATCTGTTGCTTCTCTAGCTTTTACTGATTTTACTCTTACTGAATCAGATAGAATTCTAGCTCAAGGAATATATGAAGAATTAAAGGATGCTAAATTTAAGGTGATTCTAAAAAAGTATAACTTACCTCTGCATTCTTTTGACTGCAATAGTTTGATTCATAAAATAGTTAGTGCCCCTTCTATTGAGTTAAATGATTTACAAACGGTAACTAACTACGTATCGCCACATACAAGGCATTATGCAAACGGTTTGTATATAAATAGATGTCTTAAAGAATGTGAAACTAAAGTTGCTTTAGATTTCTTCAGGTCGTTACCAAAAAATGACCAAAAAATTTTGATTAAAAGTATAGTTATTAAATACGAACATATAATTTCCGGTCCATCCAACAAATTATTAGAAAGAAATTATTTAGATTTTATTAAGGGGTCAAACTGTCAAGATGTATTACAAATAAATGCCTTTGAAAAAATGTATCACTTGAAAAATACATACGATATTAGATCAGAATTAAATGATTTATGTGACGAAGAATTTTATGAAATGAAGTTAGAATTTCTTAAGAAAACTGATAACTCTGGCCGAAGTCGGTATTTTGAACGTTTTACAACACTAGATTTCTTAAATTCACAACATTCAAAATTAGAAGCTTTCTTGCACAAAACTTCTGCTAACGAAAGAGTTAGAATCATTGTTAAACAGTTGATTTGCATTGGAGAGAATAACAGTAATGAGAGAGAAATTTTGAATCAATTTAAGGACGGAGAAAATATTGAACTGTTATTGTTGTCTCAAAGTGTTTTGTCGGATTTAATTTCAGATTGTCCTGAAGAGTACATTCATGTTTTATGTAAAATATTATCGATGTTAAATGCGATTATCAATACAAGTACAATTCTTAAAAACCTATCGGTTACATGGAAATTTAATTATATATTCCTACCTATGTCTTCTAATGCGGCATTAAATAACTTGGTAGACTTTTACGTTAATCATGAAGATGCCAATGTGGTCTACGATGGAAATGATTTTATTCCATTACGTATAATCGCACATTCATTTATAGAAACGTTGATTTCTGAAAGACATTTTAGTGAAAATTTATTAAGAATTACCGAAAATGTTGCGCAAAAATTATTAAATAAAGTACTTGCATCTCAGGAACTAGATCAAGTTATATTGACTGCACTTTTACTTGTTATTTATAAAAGTCCTGATTTTGTTGGTGACAAAATGTACATTTTAGAATTATTGCAAGGTCGATCTGAAAAGTATTCGCCATCAATAATGTACTATTTGTCATCTCCAGCAATTCGACATACGTTTGGACTAGAAGCTGTAATACCAAGTGCATTGACGTACCCTCCGCAGCATATATTACAGTCTAAGTTCAACATTTATCTTGGTGATATTGCCCTTCCCGATTATAGAGAAGAGACATGGGATGTCAAAATGTTATTATTTTACATTTTGCGGCAACAACCCGATACTTCCTTCGAACGTCTAAACGAACTATGTCAAACTTTAAACGTTTGTATTAACGACGGATTATCATTATTATTAATTTCCTTCTTGATTAATTGGAATTTGCAGTACAAAACTTCTGTAAATGACATAGGATGTCGAGACATTACCTTAGAAAACGACGAAGATCGTTTAATTTCGAAATGCTTAACGATTTGGCAAAATATTGAAAACAAAGATTTTTTGAAGGATGTTCTCAAAGATTTTTGGAAAAATGGTGAAGTAGTTATTCATGGTTGTGTAATATCCATAAATCCATATTATTACGAAGTTTTACTGTGTATTTACTACCTTTTGGTTTCATCTTTTTCAGACAGTAAATACTTAAACGAATATTTCATTTTAAACTTTCTGAAAGAATATCAAAGACAGGGCTCACCAAAGCAGTATGAATTTGAAGTTTTTTCAGTTAAAGGGCTCTTCCCAGAAATTGGACATTATAGACTACCTTTTCACTTATTTATACGGGACGATATGTGGTTGAATTTAAAGTCTGAAATAACACTGGCGACATATGAACGCTGGCTTCCAGTAGTAGGCAATTTATCACTTGATGCTGATACACAGACAGCTAAAGATATGATTTGTAGTAATGCAGTCAAACAAACTATGACCAATAGAAGACCTAACAATACAACAGAAACTGATACAAAAGATGATATTTGGAAATTGACGTCATACGAAGAACCATTACTTCGTGCGGCACATCGTTGTGTAAGGCACATAGCAAATATGGAATGGGCTGGAGCATGTCTATTTTATGTCTTGCAAGGTTGTGCCAGAGGAGCCGATCAAGTAGCAGCCGCTCAACTTTGTTATCAGTTTTCGCAGCGCTGGGCCGCTGTACAACCTGGTAATCGCGCAGTCCGTCAAATGGAACGCCTTCATTCTACTTTATCTACCCGACATGTTTTACATAAAATAGACTGGGCTTGTGAAGAATTTATTAGGCTGACGTCTGAGCCCTCACAACTAATCCATGCTTTATATCTTCATCCCAACTTTGTTGAAAAAATAGGCCGTCACAATATCAACAGAGCAGCAAATGAAATAGCAGATAAAAACGGCATTAATATTAATTCAATCCGAATTCAAATTTTGGAAAATCTTCTTGACAAGAACAAAGACAAACAAAGTCCGAGTCTTAATAACATCGAACTTATTACAGCTAAATACATATTAAAAGTTACATGTCCCAAGATGGGGGCCATTTACTTATCTCGCATCGCTATAGATGATGAAAACGATCATAATAAAATAAAAAAACTTAGAGCTTTACAATGTCTAATGAGTGTCGTAGATCAAGAGATTGCAGTAAAAGTTGCAAATAAAGACCATCAAAACCTCTGGCCAACATTACTTGAGCTTTTGTATACAGTCCACTTTGAAAGAATTGATATGCCTTGGTTAGTCAGTTCTTTCAAAAAAGATAAAATAAATGCTATAAGTCAGTTGATTCAAACATCTGGAACTAGTATTGAAGCATTAAAGGTATCAGCTGAACTAGCATACAGATATGGAGACTTAAAAAGTATTCGTGATCTAATACCACTATTGTTGAAGACTTCATTACATGACGAACTGATTCCATTATTATTGAAAATGTCACACCCTTTAGACAGTACTATATGTTTGGCTTGGCGTGCAGTTATTTTGTCTCCATTTCAAAAAGCTGACTATCCAATAACAGAGAAGCAAAAGACAAAATGTCTCAAAGCTATTAACTTACTACCATTGTGCCCTGTAATAAAAGATGCAGATTTACTTGAAATATGGAAAAATTGTATCAGGTGTAAATGCCCTGCTTTAGGCTGTTTAATTTTACCTTACATGGCATCTGAAAGTAGAGATAATTTAACAGAAATATCAAGATTTGATAAAAGAAATTTAATTATTGGTTTAAAAAATTTGCATGCTGAATCTTATCTAGTATCTAGTGCCATGTGTGTAATAGAAAGTATGACCATAAAGTTAAAAAGATAATTCTTCCTCAATTTAATTATATTTATGTAACTACAAATTAAAAATTTACAAAAATACAACTTTACCACCTGAAATATTAAAAATTATATTATTATACTCACATAATGTACATATAAACAAAGTAAAGTATTTTGTTTTTACTAGAAGTTTATATTTTTATGTGATTACTTAGTACTTCTATATGGAACTTAATAATATGTGAAAAGTAATATTAAGAAAACTAAAATATTTAAATTTGTATTGTAGTAAAAATTCCACTTGTATCGTATAAAAATTCCACTGCATAACGCAGTAACCAAATAAGATACTTATACTTAAGGCAAGTTTTAAGTGGATTTTTGTAACTTATGTATAAGGTATTTATAAGAAATTAAATTTTGTATTGTTAAAATATTTTTATTCTTATTCTTACATAATTCCCAAACAGTGTAGTTACATTTAACTTAATAGTTAATTTCGTATATAAGGATTGCATGTGAACTCTAAAGATTGAATATGTGATGCTGCTGGGAGAACCATTTCAAACAGAGGAGCATAAATTCCATGACCACAAGCTAATATTTTAGGAGTTTCATTTGAATTATTTGGTTTTTGAGCAACTTCTACTATGTCTTCTCTTAAAAATAAAATTAATAAAGTGGATTTGGACTGACCAATTGAAGATAACAAATGTAGTGGTGTTAGTTCTGAAAATGAAAAAAAAAAGATCATTGACATCTATATATCTTAATATGTGTTCAGAAGTCACATGGTAATGATATCTTTAATATATTTTAATTATTACAACAGAAATAATGTATTAAGCAAATATTAGTAATCTTATTTGGTTTAGTGATAACTCTTGGTTGTAAAAAATAATTTTATTATAGTGAAGTATAAAGAATATTCTTTGATATTGTTAGAATTTAAATGTAAATATTAAGGAAATTATATCATTATGTGACACTATTGTTGCATTGTTTTATCAAATCTAAAAAAATTACCTCCATTTGACAAAGCAGCAGGGTCTGCTCCTGCCGCAAGCAATCTGGCAGCAGCAGCATAATTATTCCATTTACATGCTGAATGTAATGGTGTCCAACCAAGCTCAGTTTTTAAATGAACATTAGCTCCAACACTAAGCAAATATGATATTACATGAATATGGTTGCTATATGATGCTCTATGAAGAGGAGAATATCCATCTGCATCCTTGGCATGGACTAGACCTGGTTGATTACTTAGAATGTCCTTTATAGTCTCCAGATCACCATTTTCAGCAGCCCATAAAATATGATCTACTGGATTCGCTAAAAGTTAAAAAAAGAGTATTTTGCACATCACTAATAACAATTCCTCTAAATAATATACCTATATGAATGAAAATACAAATTCAAACATCTTATGATAGTGGCTGCTAAAACAACATTATCTAAATTAAATAGGTCTGCTACTTTTGTCTGCTCCATCAAATTCAAACCTTTGACTTTGGGTTACACATTATCAACTAAGCCGTAAAGGCTAGCTAGTTGTAATTTTTCTAAGACTACTTTTTGGACTTGAATTCTATTTGTAGGGTGGACAACAAGCAATCTCACTTTTACCATAAAATTAACTAATGTTAAAAATAATGATCATATTTGGACTTATTCATAGAAGTACATATATATTAGTAGTACTATATAGGTTCATTCATTTCCAGGAAAATTTATAAGTTATATTTCATATTAGACTTCTATACACATGAAACTTTTTTACAGAATCAGTTCTTAGTTTTATTATATGTTGGGATAGTTTTTTAAACATGTTTTACCCTTTGGATTTTTCACAATGTCAACACCAACGTCAGCATCATCCCAGCCCGACACAAACATTTCTGAAGTTTCAGGATCCCTTTTATACTTTTCAATTTCTTCTGCTATCTCCTGATAGTCACGAGTTGTAAGAGCTTCTTCTTCAGAATCTGACGACATCTTTGCTACACTTGTTCTATCCTTTCTTTAAATAAAACATATAACAAATATTAAATAAATACCTATCAAATGTATAAATAAACACCCGGCTATCCGAGAGCTGAGAGATCTAGACAACAGCTTCTTACCAACTAGCGTGAACCGCTCGCCCGACGCCCGTCGTCATGAACACTGGTCATGTGACCCAGTATGAGCTAATTATTTCGATCCCGCATTTTTAGATCGGGACAAGTTTTCTACGTTTAAATTGAAGGTGTTTCCTTACATTTAAACGTAAAGAAAGTACAAGGATTGTCAACAGGCGAACTTAAAATTTTAACAGATATTTATCAAGTGTCTTTTACTGTTATCACATAAATTATATTTTTGTAATAAATCGGTCTACGACCTTATCGGCATTCAAAGACTTTCGACTCTTGTCAGCGGTTCACGCTTGACTCTGAGCCCTATTTAGTAATTTTAGTATTTCGAATATCTATTATCGCCTTAGGTTTCTTATTATAGTAGATAATGTTTAAAATAACTATATGCTACAAACATCTGTGGACTATAATTATAAACCAAAGCTATCTCTGTGTGTTACCAGTGCTGATTAAGTCGGCCATGATGGAATTGATATTATTTTCAACATGGCGCCTAGCCTAGTTAAGAATGTGTGTGTGTGAAAGTGCAGTGAAATTATGTTAATATCGATGGTTTTTAGTGATAAATTTAGTGCATAAGTGAAAAAAGTGTGCTTTAATGCAGCGGTTATCTTATAATGGCTTTGGATTTACGCTTGCATTCTCCAGCAGGCGCGGAACCCGTTGTTTATACATGGCCCCTCACATCAGGTCATGGCTCGGTAAGGAAAGCATTAGTAAAGAATTTGATTTTAATTTGCGGTGTTGTTTAGTTCTACTACTATAATGCCCTGGTTATAACGCAATATTAATGAGCGTAGCTTAACCAGCAGCAAACATTTTATTTTGTAAATTGCCAATTATCTCAGTGTTGTCATAAACCTTCCTGACTATGCTCTTGTTAAGTAGTGTTATTACAGACAATAATATAAACATAAAGAACAATTTTGTTTAGTTTTCTTTAGACTTTTTATAATGTTTAGAAGTTGACTTCTGAATAATCATATCCTTATAAGCAAATAGATGATAACGGAATGTTGAACTGTTCAATGATCACATGGCTTCTATATTTCTTGAGTGTATTGACCTCGTGTTTTGTCAAGGTGTCGGCTTTTTTTAGCTATCTACACCCTACTATTACGTATGTTTAAATTCGTCATAATGTATTTGCGTTATCACTAACTTTAAAAATTAGCAAAATATTATTAATTTTAGGCAAGTTCTGTCATGTGATAGTTGTAGTAATGTATTAGTGCTAAATAAAGCCAGGAATTAAATGTGTAATTTATTATTTACTTTTCCTTCTATACTGTTTATCAACACATAAACTGTGTTTTGTATGTTTTGTCATTCTCACACCTACATAATAATTACTCTTACTACTACTTACATCTACATTAATGAATACTTTTGACTCCATACATTTTTATCATAATAATTGTTGTAATTGTTTTAGAATTTCTCTCTTTAGTTAGAGTTGTAGAGAACTCAAAATCCAATTTTTTTTTCTGTTGTAACAAATAAAACTAGTATGAATGAAAGACTTTCTTATAGTGAAAGTTATACTCAATTAAAAAATTATTTAACTGTGATGGGTGGTTCAGCTACTTGTAACAATTTTTTTTTATACATCAATAACATATAAATTTATCACAATACTGTAGCTTTAATTCCTATTACTGCAGCTGCACTAATATGTAGAAAACTTTCTATATTAGTTTCATTAATTACTTACCATAGCCTAATTATCTTAATCTAATATAAGTCTAATAAAGACTATTATATATCTGATTAATTAAAATGTTAGACTTAGGATAATAATTTTTATTACTTTATATAAAAAAACAACTATATATTAGCTTTCATAATATATGGATGTGCTTAGTTATCATTTTTTAAATGGCTCTTTATGATGAATAAGTTAATGTTCATATAAAATGCTCAATTGTTGTGCAGAAAATACAATACATAATTTCTTACTTTTGATAATTATCTTATGATCAGTGTTTTACACCTATCAACACAATATGTTTTTTCTATAGCAATCCAAATCAGGATGATGAATAAACTAAGCTTTTGACCATGGAGTCATAGCAGCTAAGCAGTTGAACTGTGTAACTGTGATTAATAATTTTGAGTTTTTACAGGACAAGCACGATGGGGCCCTGGAGATAGTAGAAACAATAAGGTGAGTAACATAATTTATGTGCTTTATAATTATTTATTTTATTTAAAGCAATGCTATAATACTATATACATACTTCTAAACAGAGATACAAAATTTGTTAAGCAATTTTTCATAATATTCAAAGTGCTTAACAAAATATCTGAACCCTATGTCAGGTTTGGTTTGTTGTTTCAACATTCCTAATTTGTATAGCTAAACTTAATAAATAAAAACATTTATTCTAAATTAAACTCAACTACAAAACTTGTTTTTTTAACAATATTGTTATGATTTGTAAAGTACAACGTGCTCTAATAATTGCCGTATTACGTTGCGTGGATGTTTGGTTACGAAGGACGTCCGAGGTCGACTACCTTTACCATTGTTTTGATCAGATTGATAAGTAGTTAAGTATTAACGACGTCAGCGTAGTTGCAGTTACTCCATCAAAGATATGTACTACATTTCTATGTGCAGTTGCAGTGCTACTTTCGTCTTATTCGTAATACATCTCGATCTTTAAATTATTATTAAAATGTAATCATCATAACATAATACATACAATCTTCATATTTTGTATGTTTTATCTTTACAATTTATGAGCATTAGCCATGTTTTTGAAAACTTGCCATATATGATTTTATTTCTCTATTTATCTATAGATTTTATTAAGATCTTTTTGTTATGAATTCAAGAAAAACGCAAAGGTATAAAACTAAGTCTTAATTCATTCTATATATTTGTACACGTGCTGATGCACCTGCTACGGGCCGCGGGGTTGACCTGTTCTCACCTGTAGCGGTGTACCAATATAGTTAATACAATTGCAGCTGACGATCTTATTTATGTAGATATTATTAACAGAACATTAAAGAACCTGTTTTTGAGATAAGAATATAAATCTATTAACAGCGATCCTAAGGAAATAGGGCGCAAAATTATCATTATTCACAAAAATATTCAAAATACTCAGATTGCGAAGTTTCAGTTTTTACTTTACAGTTAATTTTTTTATGTAATATTTAGTAGGAATTTAAATTGCTCTATCATTTTATTGGCTTAATTTGAAATGTCAAGGACGCCAACTTGATCCAATGCAAAAAGTACAATGACCTATAATAATATAATTTATTCATTACATTTCTTGCAATCAATCAATCAAAGTACACTTTTGAAACATTATCGAATACAAAATAAACAAAAATGAAATTGCAACATGTCCTAGTTCACACAATAGTACACACAATCTTCTTGATGTAAAAATAAAATAAAATTGAGTGTTCATAACCCATGTATAGGTGTCGTAAACTGTTTCCGCACTGTACCTATCCGTAAACGATGACAAAATACTGTTGAGAAGTCATTATTTTTTATCCACGAATTATATTTTAATTATACTTTTAAGTTGCGTACGCTAAACGTACGAGTAAATCTAAAAAATCAGTAGGTACAGTATTGTATCGAAGTACTCGGTGAAACATTTTTATCTATAAAAAGAGAAAAGTTTAAAGCGGGTCACCCGTTGCTACCGAGAGGTCGGGTGGCATAGCCCTGGCGACCTCTCGACATTCACTCACTCGCATTCAATGGCCTTGAAACCTGTCTCTTTGAACTTTCTTTTCTTTTTTTCTTACGTAATTTTAAAACTGTGTTCTTTATCAGATACATTTTAACTATAGAGTTTAGATTATCCTAAACAGATGTTTTTATTTATTTACACTTCGTTGCTAAAAAAAAAAAGGAAACACAATACATAAAAATTATAAGGGATGCAACGGGCGGCCTTATTGCTAATAAGCGATCTCTTCCAGGCAACCCTAGTTAAAGAGAAAAACTAAAAAAAAAAAAAGAAACATGCGTGCGAGAAGTGCAGAACCAAATGTTATATAAAAAAAATATATATATATATATATATATATATATATATATATATATATAGTACCTTAATCTAAAGTAATACAAAAAAAAATTAATAACAGACTAAAAACTTAAAAGCTAATCATACAAATACATGAACAGCGAATAGTGATGTAAAAGGAAACATAAGAATTATACAAGTCACGATTGATCAGGATAGGATAAGGTTAAGAAATGATTATACAGAAGAGTTTTAAAAGATGACAGAGAGGTAGCCAATCGTACGGAGTCAGGCAGCGTATTCCACAACTTAATGGCGGAGATCGTAAATGAATTGCCTAAGAAGGATGAAGTGTGGGATGGAATTTCCAATAAACATCTATTAGAAGAGCGTAACATATAGTTAGAAGGACCTAAGAATTTGAAGTGACTTTTGAGATAAGAAGGGGTTTTCGGATTGAAAAGAATTGAGTATAGAAGTTGAAGAAGATGAGCGTGACGTCTGAATCGAATAGGTAGCCACCCCAGCTGCCTGCGGAATTTAGACACATGGTCATATTTTCTAAGACCAAATATGAAACGTATGCAGAAATTCTGCAGGCGTTCGATTTTGTCAAGTAGCTCTTCGTTCAAATCAGAGGAGCATGAGTCCGCATAATCGAGAATTGGAAGCAGAAGAGACTGCGCTAACATAGTTTTAGATAGGAAGGAAATTAGAAAGACGTTTCAGAGTAAAAGAAGCGGCGTAAAGTTTACGGCTGATCTCCTTTACGTGATGACCCCAGGAAAACGTTTGGTCGAAGAAGACCCCAAGGTTTTTAACAGTCCTATTGAGGGCCAAGGCCACACCGTCAAGGTAAACACCAGGGAGCTGAGCCCATTTGACTCTTGAAATAAAGAAGGGCTTCCGATGATAATGACTTGACTCTTGGCAGGATTAATTTGAAGACCAAAGTCTTTACTCCAGTTGGCTATGTTTTCAAGATCATCATTCATCGCCTGTATTGCAAGAGGAAGCTCATCCAGTGTAGACTGAACGTAGACTACTGCACCGATTGGAGAGGGTCTAGAATTGAGTTTTTATTCAGAAATCCGCTAAGCTGCGAGTGTATAAGGCGCTCTAGAGCTTTAGATAGGAATGGTAGAATAGAAATGGGCCGCAAGTCAGAAAAGTTAATGGGATCGCGCCGTTTGGGAATAGGAATAACTAGACTATCGATATCTATAGTAACTGAATAATTAAAAATATGCGTAATAACTTGAAGATGAACAGATGTTCATCATGCAGAGATATAAAGTAATTCTTACGAAAATTTATGTTTTGGGTTATATGTGAACTTTAAGTGTAAATTTGGTATATAGACACATGCCTTCTGTCTTTATTTTGAAAGTATTTGTTGTAGATGAACTACTTACTTTACTACAACATTATAAATAATACAAAAACTTATTGTTATGTATAACTTCCGCAAGCCAGGTAATATCCATCTGTTGACTACAATAATTGTATATTTTTTACGCCCGTTCACTGTTTTATGATAGAGCCTGTCTTGACCGTTAACCGTTGTATTGTATTCGTCTTCTCGGTTCCCTTAATAAAATATACAAAGGTTTTTTTAAATATGGGTTTATTACTTTTAAACTTCTGTAGCAAAAGTTAAAAAGTAATAAATAGCAGTACAATTTAAGTAATATTTTTGTTAATGTTACATTTATTATATAGGTGGGTATGCGACGACCTGCCGGAGATGAAGGGTGCCTTGGAGAAGAACATCCTAAGCGACTACGACACCCACTCATACGAGAGTATGCGGGCATTATGCGACCGCTTCAACCGCGCTATCGACTCCGTTGTCGCCTTGGTAATTATAAAATTATTTACACTGTATGTACTCTTAAAATGTCTACAACAATTTTGTATATTGAGTACTTAGTAATGGCATATATTATAGTTAACCTATGCCTTATACTGCGAGTAGTAGTATTTTATTGCGATGTATTTATGCGCTAAAGTCCTTTGTTATCTTGTCTCGTATCTCTTGTGAACACAACAACGTATATCTGAGAGAAACTAATTACAAAATAGGACCATACGACACAGCTTAAATAAATACGCTTCATTGTCTTTTTGGCATTTCCATTATTAGCTTGTTGAATTTTATAATTTGTACAAATCTGCTAAAATAAAATATATAACTCCATTATAAACACATTAATGTTCACAAATAGACTACGCCCTATTTGACCGATCGATAATATGGTGAACTAGAGGTACAAGTTAGGCCGGTGCACTAAGGACATTTGACGACCCCTGTAGCATCGCGACCCCTTCTAGCATATCACGTGGTCACAATGTAAACAATGTTATCGAATCATGACATTGATATCTAATGCATTTATAACCAGTGTAATATGTGCATTTTTAAATATTATGTTATCACCATGATAAAACCTAATGGTAAAACTTTTAAAATAAATGAATATATCATATGCCGTTGATTAAGACAAAGTCCCCCATGTGCTTAAGTATAAAAACGTGATTTATTTAAATTGTTAGTACTCATGTAGTTTTGATTAAAGAATTTTCTATAAAAAAGCAACCGCCGCGCATTTAATTTCTAGTTTTTTTTCAAAACATTTACGTATAGATAGGATTGATATTTTGCTTTTATACTAAAATAAATGGAAACTTTATGATTAATATTATTTAAAAAGTTTTTATCAGCAAAACATCGAGTTAATGAAACTCACGACTTCTATCTCAAAGTCAACTGCTATAAAAATAAAGAACAACGCTTATCGTTTAAGTTTCATTATTTTTGCAAAACAATGGACTATAAAAATAAACAAAATTTATATTTTCTACCTAATTTGCTTATATAAATATATCGTAAAAACGTATTACAACGATGTTGGCATGATTTCCAAGTGAAAACCGTTCAATGTCATAGTCTATTTATATGAAATAAACTTCCTGGATGACCTGTTGATTTTGTACTAACATTTCTAACGTGTCTCAGAAATGAAATGGAAAACGCAAAGCAGCCGAAAATAATGTGAATTTTACGCGATGATGTCCCTAACCGGCCTAAACAATATTATATGCAAAATCAGAGAATGAATGTGGGGCAGTGAGGGAAAAATAGCGGGGAGCGGGCGAGATGTGAGAGGGCCATGAGGGCCAAAATGGCGTCAGACAACGAGGACGCAACATAACGATCGATGGTTGTAGCCATAGCAGACGGCGCACGAGAGAAATCTATTATTAAACCATGCATTCTATTCGTTACGACGAACATAGAACTTGGTAACAATATCCAAATATAAACAGAAACGTCTTCGATAGAATTAGTTATTCGGGTTGCTACTTCTACTTATTTCTAATTACGCAACAACCCTTTTATAAGAATGTATCGCCTGGTTAATCATTATCTAGTAATTAATTTCTATAAACACCATTTAGAGATTATATACAATTACAGCGGTTGTTTAATGTGGAATGGATAAAATAACATACCCAACGTTGTTATATCGGTTCGAAAAGTAGGATCAATACTATATTGTATCGAATAATTCCAAATTCGTTTTCGATTTCCTATGATGTCATTAAAACTGATGACTACCTCGCATACTTAAGACGTTCGTTCGTTACCTTGAGTCCGCCGTGTAGGAAGCTTAGTACGTATAACACGTATCAATTCCACTCAAGTACTAGTTATATTCATCACAGTGTAGCAAAATTATTACCGTGCATCGTCTTACGGTGCTCACTTTAACTCGTGAAAGTCTTTGAATCACAGTCATCGACATTACCCGATCTTCAAGTTGATTGACCTCTGTAGCGGACATACGTCTCAACCAAAAGTTGATTGCCTTCGTACATTATTTTAGGAGCAATCTTAAATTATCATAAATATTTATTTATTTCCGGCAATCATAACAATTTTGATCCAATGGGACTTAAATTTTAACTTTGACCTCTAATTAAAATATTACAGGAAATAGTTGAAATGGGGTCTAATTTAAAATGTAATGATTACCAAATTAGGATGTATTTTCGAGAAGCTTTTATTTTTAATAATAAAATAACGCCGCCGCAGACTTGACGGATCCCTGTTAGTAGAGTATATTACGTAAACTACAATAAAACCGAGCTTGTTGAATGCTAAACTATAATATTTTTAAATATATATATAAACTATAAATCAGATTCGTATTAATTTTAATCACAAAGAATTGTTATTCAAATGCGAATCGATTAAAATTTTGGTGCGGGGTCGCATAAGAGGGCAATGACCGTAATATTGAGCGAATGTCTCACGTAGTGTTTATAACCTTAAGCTTGTATAGATAAAATTAATTTTAACTTTATTTATTCAAATAAGTACTATGAATCCAAAAATTTATTGTTATTATATCAAGCTTATTTAAAAGGCTCCCCCACGAATGTATAACAAATATTCTTTTATTCGTTACATGTTTATTGGTACATAGGTTAAGTAGTTCATATAGCTATGAATGACTTGCGTAATCAACGTAAACAAAGCAGGAGGCTAACGCAAACCTCGAGGCCACAACGCCCACAAGTACAGGTTTACATGTCGGGTCTTTTGTATGTATAATCTATATACGTTAAATAGTTACTAGTTGCATTATGCCCGTTAATAATAAGCGATGCTATTGTTAAAAAAACACTGCAATGCATATGTATAATAAAAAGTTAGGTTCCTTACTACGGTTGACGTAACAAGCTGTAAGAATATTTACCTGTGTCCAATGTATTTTTATGCTACTGAGGAAACCAGGTTCGTTTGTACTTTTAACGAATATAATAATATATCTCATGTATTACTCACACTGACGCTATTGGTATCAACTTATAATAAGGCAGTTTAATTCAAGGTCAATATGTCCTATATTTAGGTCATATAAACTTATGAATGGCAAGATCTTATGAATGGATTTTGAATTGTGCCTGACGGAATACGGGTATGCAACCAGTTTATATATATTATTAAATTAAAATGCCTGCGAAAATAATCGTGCTTTTAGGAATAACTACTAGCCTTAGGTAAATTAGTTTGACAATCAATGTGAGGTCTATAACTTATTGTATTATTGATCCCAAGATAGATTTTGTTAAGAATTATATTATGTCTTATAATTTTTAATTATAAGTTCTAATTAATGTTTACAGGAGAAAGGTACTTCACTGCCTGCTCAGCGCCTAAACAAGTACCCGTCCAGAGCATTGTTGAAACACATACTGCAACAAACTTATAACCAAGCCGTTGCTGACCCAGAAAAGTTAAACCAATATGAGCCTTTTTCGCCCGAGGTAAGATTTATGCTTCCACTTTCACTTTTTAGATCACACTTCATATATCACTGGAATGGAATACGAGTAACATAACCATAGGTCATCCATACATATGTTATTCTGTGAGAAAAATAATATATACTTTAACAATTATAATGAACAAGGTGAAAGAACTCTTTAATAAAAAAAGTAAAGTTTATTTATATTTTCTAACTTTATATCTTTTGCTTTTGTATCTGTGATTAGTAAAATGTTTACATAACCGATATTGTTTTCGTATCTTTCAGGTGTATGGTGAGACCTCTTTCGAGCTAGTATGTCAAATGATAGATCAAATAGATATCACAGCAGAAGATGTGTTCGTGGACTTGGGTTCGGGCGTCGGGCAAGTTGTATTGCAGATGGCTGCAGCGACACCTTGCCGCATCTGTTTTGGTGTCGAGAAAGCGGAAGTGCCTAGTAAATATGCAGAGGTAGGCTTACATAACTAAACAAATAGTAGTTGATATAATGTATGTCAGTTGCATAGAACATTTTCTAATTTGGTTTCTGTAAGAGTTGTTTAGTATATGAATCTATTAAATTATCAATTCGATTTGCAAATAAATATTATTTTATATACAATATGATACTGTAGGAAAGAAAGTTGATATCAATTAATATTTTTTATTGTTAATATATCTAAGAAATTTCAACGCTTTGATTTCAGAATATGGATTCGAATTTTAGAATGTGGATGAAATGGTACGGAAAAAAGTATGGGGAATATAAATTAATAAAAGGAGATTTTTTAATGGACGAACATAGAGAAAAGATAAATTCGGCGACAATAGTTTTTGTTAATAATTTTGCGTTCGGCCCTCACGTCGACCACCAGTTAAAGGAGAGATTCGCAGATTTAAAAGACGGCGCCAAAATCGTGTCTTCGAAGAGCTTTTGTCCACTTAACTTTAGGATAACAGACAGAAACCTCAGCGACATCGGGACCATCATGCATGTTAGTGAAATGTCGCCGCTGAAAGGATCAGTCTCGTGGACTGGGAAGCCAGTATCTTACTATTTACATATAATAGATAGGACCAAATTAGAGAGATATTTTCAAAGACTGAAAAATCCGAAACTCAAGGTCAGCAAAAGGGTCTGTTTCCAATCGCATCTTTATTTATTGCTATATTTAATGCATGCCCAGTTTGCACAATAAAATCAGTTTGTGTGTTTGCTAATTACACGGATTGTATCCAAGAAATGGAAAGCATGCTTGAAACTTGTTCTATTCGAGTATTTTTCTCGTGTGAAGTTTTTTTTCAATTACAATATAATTGCCGTTAATTAAAATATCTTGGGTATTGCAGTCTGTCGGGTAATGGGTGATTTAGTTTATTTTATGACGTTAAGCATACAAAGAGATAAAGTGCAATTGCTTGTTTTGTTTATAGCAAATGACATAGATGCTACAATATTTATTTTGTGTAGGGTATACAAAATGGGTGTGAAGAGGGAGAAAGCAGTAAGAGGAATCTAAGTGCGCCTCCCACTAGGCAATCGACGCCGGACTTGCTCAATGGAAATAGCAATCACAGTACGGGGTCTTTGCCTGAGAGGAGAAGGAAAGTTGCGCGGCCTAGACCGATTAGGTATGTTAGAAGTGTACCCAGAAAAATTGTTCACTTGAGGGCAAGTTAAAAGGAAAACAAAATCAATCAATAATGGTTTCGGATTGGCAGAGAGATTAACTGCATGACATTTTAAAAATTATCAGGGAAACATGCAGAACATGTATTAGCCCATATTGGTGGGTTAGGATCTTTACTTTATTTTTATTATCAAAAATCGATAGACGAATATTTTAAGAGTATGCATAAGCTTAATTTTTTTATGCTTAAAACTTATATAATAATTTTACTTATCGTATAAGTAAATATTCACCAGAGGTGAAAACGGACGGACGCGTGCGCGCGCAGCAGTAGCAAAGCGTCGCCCGGCGAGACGCTCCAGTGATGAAAGTGATGAAGAGTCCAGCGGAACTGATGATGCTCCACCTGGGCCTGAGCCCGCGCCCAGGGAATGGGGCGCTCCCTGGGCCTCCTCATCTGATTCTAGTCAGTACACTCAAACACAACGTACACGAACACATCCAACATATACCTTACAGTATATAATCAGTTCTTGTTACTCTATATTGTAATCACCTTTATGTGCACTTTTAAATTACAGTAATAAAAACGAAATAAACATTATTTTATAGTAAAAAAATTAGTTGAGAAAGTCTTCAATGGCACAGGCAATCGGTTTCCATTAAAATTGTACACTTTATTATTGATTTGTAATTGAACAAATCTACACTTAGGAGTTTGTGGTTCAATCAACTACTAACATTTTTGAAGTTAAATCTTAATTATAACACACTAAATAACATGCTATGAAACTTCAAATTTCGTTGATATTCAGGTATGTTTTTTTAAAATGCAAATTGTGTCACAGGATACCCGTTTAACACACCTCGATTTCATCGGATTAATTCAATCTGTTTAAGAGTCGTCGTTCTTTGTGGAACTATTTTGAACAGTTTGGATTTGAAAATTAGATAAGAGAATTCGATGTCTTTCATCATTGTATAGTTAAAGAGACTTAAATTCTGGTAACGAGATCATCCAACTTGGCATCCTTTGTTTTGACAGGTTTGTTTTAAAAGCTTTTAAGCTGTAAGCTCTACCTGACGTAAAGTATTATGCTTTTATTAGTTTTGAGTTTTAACAATATATATTCGAAATCTAACAGCAGTAATCTTGTCATATTGATATTGTTGAATCTATCAACTCGAAGATTTTCATACGTTGTGAAATGTTGGTACTATCTGCTTTTCGTTTCCAATACTGCCCAAGAAGGGCCCCCCAAGTTTTCTACACACAAAGTCTGTTGTGTTTCTATTCTACTAGTTAACTAGTGATTTCACGTTACGATAGCTCAGTTCGTTTAAAAAAATCTTCGATTTGTAGCTACTGTAACTGGTATTTTGAATAGTCAATCCAGGTGAAAATAAATAATACTCTACGTTCCGCTTCTGTAGCTTGTCACGCATTTATATTGAATAAAGTTTATTGACCAAAAAAACAATAAATGGTTAGAAAAAATGTGTAGTACAATCACAATATTGTTTCTTATCATTCATTTATATTTAATAAAATATCATGCAATGGCTTTTAGATATAGATTATTTGTGTTCATTGTTGGCGTACATTAAGTTCTTTTGCATGTTTAGAAATAATGTTAATGTACCTATATTGAAGTTTCTTTGATTTCTACAATTTGAATCTAAGGCAATGAAGTCTATTAAAAATGTGTCAACTGAACTAGCAATACTTATTTTTTTATAAATGAGTTATTGTAAAATGTTATTTGACGCTATACACAATGTATTTTTTTTGTAATAAGACTCGTTTGTAAATGTCTTTCACCCTATTCCTCTTTGGACATTTGTATAAGCAAACCGAAATTTAAGTGCATTTTTTAAATCTAGGAATTGGGCGATCGTTTAAGACAAAGGGAATAGACTGTCTTTACGATATATGTAATGTACAATTATATAAACATGTGACTGAAAAGGTATAAAATAATATTTAGTTTTTGTGTAACTTGTGAACCGAAGTATCAGGTGGAATGAGCTTATACTTAAAGCTCTTTGCACTTAACGCGGGGCAATTCATACGCAGTCTATTCCCTGCATCTCCAATGATTGGGCTTTTGTAATCGCGATTGGTATATAGATCGTCGCGGGCGCAGCTCAAAGCGGAGTGCAAGTGCCGGCGGGGCTCGGAGACGCGCGGCCAGAGCCAAGCGACGCAGGGGTGCGAGGCCTAATATAGCAGGACTGGATTTGTTGCATTCCACCACGCTGGCTTCCACAATACATAATGGCGCGGTGAGTGAATTAAAAAAAAAAATTAACAGTTTCTTTGTTTAAGATCGCTAGTCATTTATATTGTGCCACTTCTAGCTCCTTTAGCGTAAGGTATTAGGGTCCTTGGTATATAAAGCCTTACCAGGCTTAAGGATTGACCACTTGCAAGGCATAAGGCATAAACCTTTAAGACAAGAATCAATATTCTTATCTATGTTCTATGATAACCTTTGCTGATAATTATTTTTTTGCACCACCTTTAACCTAACCTAATACTTTTTACGTGTACACAAACACATGTTTAAAGTATACTAACAAATTATAATTTCATCGAACAGGTGACGACAGCGCCACCTGGCTGCGTAGAGCAACGCTTGTCAGCATTGGGAGTATCCTTACAATCGCCTGAACGATTACATTCAGAACTAGAGATCCCACGGTCACCGCACACACCATACAGTTTGCAACTATTGCTCGATATGTTTAGAGACCAGTATTTAGCTTTTATCACGCAAATGAACACACCGCAATACGCCCACGATATCAGACAGCAGATTGATAAGGAGAAGGTATGTTGACAAGCTGAGATTTTGTATTTTAGATTTTATTGTAGACTTTGTATAATTTTTCTCTTTTTGAAACCAGTTTTAAGTTTGATGGTTTTCAATATGCTAAAATTTTTATTTTATCTGTGAAGCAATTTAAGGGGACTTCTTTAATTATAACTTAGTATATTTCTATACCTTGTATCTGTATGGTGTCTGTTACATGTTAAATTAATTGAGTGACAATTTTAGTTATGAGTTAAGTTAGTAAGCTGTTGGTTACCCTATATATATATTTTGCTGTTTTAGTTATTCAATAGTTTTTGGTTAATATCATTGATCAAAAGTTGAATCAAAACATGTTAAAAACTTTAAAATAGTTAAACTAAATTAAAATGATTTTAACATTTCAGGAAAGAAACCAAAAATTAAAATCAAGAGCCTCTCAGTTAGATAAACAAATAAGTGTGCTAATAAGTGACAGTGTGGCGCTTCTAAAGGCTAGGATGAGTGAGCTTGGTATTCATGCCAATAATACCGTGGACTTGTTGGCGAAGGCAAAGGAAATCGTCGGGAGACATAAGGAGCTTCAGAGTAAAGCTAGTAAATTACAAGCACAGGTCAGTATATTTGGGACAATTTATTAATCAATTGTATTAAATAAAATTACAATTTGTAAGTAAAGACGAGGGTTCCTTGGAGTTATTCAAGCCCAACTCTATACGTTCAGATGTTATTATATAATTTTGATGAGACAGAATGGTTTCAGTTTCTTATGATTTTATTTCATAGCTTATAGGATTAGCCATATCTTTGAAACTGTTATATTAGTATGCTACAAAATCACTCACAGATAAAATATTACTCTGAAAAATACAGATTACATAAATGTTGTACTTCAATAACTGGTACACTAACACGACAAATGGGAGACACATTACAAAAGAAAAAAATCAACAATTTTACTACTATCAGGTTTATACAGTTAAAAACGTATAACAATGCTTTCAGGTATCAAATATAGAAGTGGAACAGGCAATGCTCGTAAAACAAAGGACGTTTGAAATAACTGAAAAATATCGGCAGCTGGGTCACATCCCGCCCGACGTCGAAATAACTCAAAGCATAGCGCACGACTGCATATTAAAGGAGATATCGGCGACTCTAGCGCATAGGAAGAGACTTCACGCACAAGTTGGACATCTTCAGAACGAAATAATTCAGATGGAGAAAGCAAGTGAGCAACAGAAAGCAACACCGAGCGTTCCCGTTGCTACCGTTAAGCCTCATACAGTCAATTCTAAACCTAGAAAGTCTAGGGACCACAGGTCGAGGTCACAAGACTGGCCCGATGTGCCTGATGTAGGCAAGATTGAAGAACAAAACCCAGAAATTCTAGCTCAGAAAATACTAGAGACAGGTCGACAGATTGAAGCCGGCAAGATCACAAAACCTAACGTTATAGTTAATGGGTATTTGAAGGATCTAGATAGACATGCGGATCATAGGTAAGTCTTTTTTTTTTAAAGTTAAAGGTAATTTATTTGTAAGTACAGTAATTACAGAGGCTGTCTAAATATACTTCATAAACTTTCAACACTGATTAAATGAAAACTCCTGTTGGTTTCATATAATTGTGATATGCTTTATTATAAAAGTGGCCTAAAGAGTACCACCGTTGCCATTATTTAACATGAAAAAATTATTAAAAAATATTAATACGATACTAAAAATTATGTTCAAATCATTGCTATAGTTTTCACGTTTATACCATAAAATATTACATCACAAAAGACACACAAAAGTGACTGATTACAAAAATTGGCCAAGTAAATAGCCGATGTCGTACTAAATCATAATATATAGTTTTTTATAAACAGACAAAAGTCGGCAGTCCAAATCAATCGCGCGCACGTACCGGCACGTCCGGGCGTGCCATTGGCCCGTTCGCCTGTCAAGTCCCAGAAGCCGCTGAACGTGGTCGCCAAAGTCCAAGAATCGCCTAAGGTCATCAACTTCGAAGACCGTCTGAAGAGCATCATCACCTCTGTGCTTAATGAAGACCAGGAACAGCGGAAGGCGTCAAGGCTTGAGGTAATAGTTTGTCTCGGCTTAACCTGTCTTATAGTACTTTCTTTTGCATTTATCCCCACAAATATTGAATTCTTGAATCTCGCTGACACCCACCAAGAAAGAAACATTAAGGATTTTTATATAATTGTGTTAGATGGGGGTAGAACCAAGATAAAATATATTTTATAGAAATAAACATTTACAATGCTATTTCAAAATATTATCTGTTGTCGTGACTATGTCGCGTAAATTAACAGCACTCGCTATTAACTTATAAAATTATTTATTTTATTTATAAAGAAATATAAATTTATTACTTCTACAGCCAAGGCAACCCACCCCAAATCACACGTTCAGTAATGGTTACGTGAGACCAAATGCGCCCCATCAGGGGTATGTACGGCCGCAAACTGGAAACGCCGTCCAAGCTTACGCCCGCCCCATTCGGGATTTACGTGACCCTCGGGACTTACGTGACCCACGGGAAATACGTGACCCAAGAGAAATGCGTGACCCTAGGGAATTGCGTGACCCACGGGAACTACGTGACCCAAGAGACTTGCGTGACCCACGTGATATGAGGGATGTAAGGAGAGAGCGATACGGGTATGAACGCCGTGAGCCGAGGCCGTCGCATGCGCATCACGAGCCCAGACCGCCTGATATGAGGAATCATCACCCCGGACAGCCAGATTATACACAGGTAATAAATTTAAAATTGATTGGCCTGTGTTGGCCTAGTGGCTTCAGCGTCCGACTCTCATACTCTATGTGCGCATTTAATATTCGCTCGGACGGTGATGGAAAACATCGTCAGGAAACCGACTTGCCTTAGACCCAAAAAGTCGACAGCATGTGTCAGGCACAGGAGGCTGATCACCTACTTGCCTATTAGAATAACAATTGATCATAAAACAGATACAGAAATCCAAGAGGGCCAGACCGAAAAAGGTTGTAGCGCCACTGATTTATATTTTATTTGAATAAATTTTGGAAATATGAGAAAATGTATAATCAAAAAACAATTCCAAAAGTATTGAAATACATTTTTCATATTGTTTACCTATACAATAAGAGTAAATCTATAAATAAAATCTAAATTAAAGGCTCTATAAATTAAACGAACGTAACATATTATCTTACAGGTGTCCCCAGCAAAACTAGCCCTCCGTCGTCACTTATCACAAGAACGCGTGTCAGGTGGAGCTCGTACTATCGGGGACCTGGTGAATGGAGAGATCGAGCGAACGCTGGAAATCTCCAACCAGAGCATCATCAACGCAGCTGTGCATATGAGTGCCCGGTACCATGAGCCGCCTCAAACACAAACGCATCAGCCGTTAGAAGGTAGTTTTTATTACAGATATTCGATCATGGCTTACTTAGTGGTATTTTTAACACTATTTGAATTACAACCGCTTAGTGCAGAAGGAATTTTACTTAATGGAAACCATTGAAAAATATATATAAACTTCGTCGCTTTTATTATTATAAAATATATATATATGTTTATTATGGACCATAAGATACAGGTATCACTTATTCCACGTTATTAAATTTGAATCTGTAGACTCATCGGCAAAGAAGACAGAGGGTGTAGGCCGAGAGAAAAAGCCGGCGTAAAAACTCTCGGTACTCTTTTAAAATAGCGAATCATCAAACAACACTTATTTTAAAACAAATATCGCAAATTAATTAGCAGTAGTCTGTCTAGCACCAGTCCCGGGCCCTTTTATCAACTAGATAATCGTTAACTTTATAGTAAGCCATTTTACACAGCTTTTCTTTAATACATTTCTTAAATTTATTAAAAGGCAGAGATAAAAGAGCCTCTGGGATTTTATTAAAGAAGAGTATCCCTTTCCCCAAAAAAGAATTACTAACTTTAGATAGTATAGTACGGGGAAATTGCAGCCTGCGTTTGTTCCGAGTATTAACATTGTGCGTATGTTCTATTCTAGTAATGTTATGACTATTTTTGTATACATACATAATATTTTCATATATATATTGAATTGAGAGATCACGAACAGTGTGAAAAAAGTTTAATAAAAAAACATGTAAAGTATGAAAACGCACGAAAAGCTGGACATGGATTTAAGATAAGGTTAAAAAATTTAAAAATTAACTTAATTTTACTTCATGGGTTGTAAATGTTTCCTAAGAGTTGATAGATAAGGACTGTCCCGTGTCCAATTGTGTGAACACGACTAGGAATTCAAAGTATGCCACATAGAATTCCTACATGTGCTCAGGGTTCTATTTTAGAATTCCTCCCTCTATTCTGGACTCAAAAATACTTTTGCCTTAAAAATAGTTGTTTGCTCCCTTGGCGACTTGTATCTATATTTATGTACGAAACCTCCAGGCCTCGCAGCATGTTTACAAGCGCGTGTCCTAGCGTCGGAGTACTGGCGGGGTCGCGCAGGCCAAAACCCCCCTGCTCCAGGGGAGGCCGAAGACGCATCAAGGCGAAACACTCCTACGCTTGACCCCCACTCAAATACATCCACGCCGTTGGTTGATGAGATGCCCGATCGGCCCCCAGGTGATAATAGCAATTATGCTGTCTCTATTTATAGCATTTTGAATACGATAAAATAATACACTGTTATTGTAATAAACCTTTTTTATTTAAATATCTTAGTTTTAAAATTAATTTTTCATTTAATGTATTTGCAGTGCGTTATTTAAAAAAATCTACATTGATGTTATTTTCCGGTAAAAACATCGATTCTAAATTTTGAAAAAAAAGTTTGAAGTATCTCTGAAATTATAAAATACTAGCGAAATGTCCCGGCATCGCTTATATTTCTAAATATTTTGGAAATAAATATATAATCAATACAGTAGTATTGATGTTATTCATTACAAACATCCAAATGTTTCCTGTTTATAGCATTAGGAATCCATAACATTTAGGCCATGTGTACATAGACCAATTGGTTTTAGAAGGCGAGGGCGGTGAGGAAGTCGAGGAGAGCAAATGGCAAGATCGTATCGCGTTCAGGTTTGACCAGATCATATCGTTCGCGTCCACCGCTATGGAGGACAAGCACCGGAGGTCGGACGAGGCGTGTAACACGTCGCCGGACTCGGGGATAGGCCACGGCGAGGCCGCCCGCCCCACCGCTAACGAGCTGCCCGCCCAAGCCGTCCAGCCGACTGCCCCTCCTCCCACACCGACCAGCGATCCGGTGATCACTGAGGTATTTTCGAATGATTACCATTTACCTATTTAGCATAGTCATATAAACAATATTGGAGTATGCTTTGAAGCTTGCTTTATCTTAACTATTAACGAGTCGTATTTTAGGTGAACAAACAGGTCTTAAGCCGACCATGGCGACCGAAAATGTGCATTTGCGAGCCGTTTTTTTAAGAATGATAATTATCATATTACACGATTTCAGTCCCTCGTAAACCACGGATATTCCTCCATATAACGCGGGGATTTCACACGTTATATTTCTGTACTGTAACATTTATTATGATTTGTACATAACATAGTTTTTTCTTAATATTCGACTTAAATCCCCTGTAACGAGAAAAGTTTAACGTGAATCATTTGTACATAACGCATTATGCGAGAATACTCCTACAACACGTTTCCTATAACGCGGAACCAATCTACAGTGTTATAGATGGGTTTACTGTAGTGCGTAAAACAAATGTATAATTCGTATGAAAACCGGGGTTATTCAATCGTATGTAAGATTTGTGTTAATGTAACTCTGTTAATTTTAATCATAATTATAGGTATATGCAATTGTTAATCTTTTTGTATTGTGTTAAACAATGTTTCGTTAAATGTAAATAATTTTATGTAAAATTTTCGATAGGTAAACGCCGAGAGCGCTCCCGGAGAAAGCAACGCGCCGAACGAAGCGCGTTCCCCTTCGCCGCCCACGCACCACTTCAAGAAACGGTTCTTCCGTCGGTCGCGGTGGGGTGCTTGGGGGGCGGCGGAGGGGGCTCCGTCCACGCCCCCTCCGGCGCTCGAATGGGAGAGGCCGCCCATGTGACGCTCGAGCATCTAGCGCCTGAGACTTCGACCGCGCATCGCCTCATAGCCCCCTCTCAGGTGACGGAGTAGCCCCGTCACCGCTCTAGAGCCCGGGCGATCCGGATTACATCGGATTACCCCTCGGACAATCAGCGCCAATGTTCAATTACGTTTTCTTGGATATGCCAGAGAACGCCGCTTATACCGTGTCGTTTCTAACACATTGATTTACCAAAAATAATATTTTTCATTTTGCGTTGACGCAAATTGAACTGCGGTGTATAGCACTAGTGTAAACTCGCGTTAAACAGATCGATATAAGAACACTGCCGCTCGGAAAGTCGCGTTTGCGATATGTTGACTAACGATTTTATTTGTTATTATTTTCGAATATATATTGTAATTATGTATATTATTGAGTTTATTTTACGTTTAAGAAATGTAATTATTTAGTGTTAGTTTATATCGTCGTATTCCGGAACGTAGCGAACGATCGCGCGGCGAAATGTATTTCATGTGTTCATTTAGCTCTTAGAATTCGAAATACACAATTCGGTGACTGCTAACGGTTCGTTTTTACTCCGGTTTTGATGGATGTTTGTTGTTTTTCTTTTCGTTTTTGATGTTACGGTGAGTTCTGAATAATGTGAATCATTTCTTTGAGGGTGTCTTAAATTAGATAATTGTATCGTTAACGTTGTAAATACTATTGGTAGAATACTATAGGACGAATAAGCGGTTAGAATAATTCGGTTAAATATATTATTCGCTTAAATGAAGCTCCATATACTGCCGTTTACAGCCGCTGCCTTATGGTACATGAAATCGTGATATTTTTAAATAACAGGAACAAAGTCTAATTAGACACGAAGCGAAAATGAATTTTAAATCTTTTGTTGGATTTTTTTATAATTAAATGTATCCATTACATATATTCCATCTTGTTCATAATTTATTATTTTTCGAATAAGGACGCTCTTAAATTTTTTAAAAGTAATGTATTATAAATAAATTGATAAATTACAAGATTCAATAGATGTAATGGTACTTATAATATTCATACTTTTAATTAGTCAAAATTGCAGGCGCAATGTCGTAATCGTGCCAAAGTGTATGTCTCTTATCACGTTGGATAAATCCTCGTTGTTAATGAGTTACAGGCATGTATATCACTGTTATTTAGTATTATAGCAGTGATTTTCACTGTTATTGGCACGGTATTGCAATAGCCTTATTAATAGTTCCTCCAATCCGAATGCTAGGGACACTGCACACGTTCAATTGTATATAGAGATGCATTTCTTTTATCGTGAAATGCATTTTAGTCAAGTAGTTGTCGCTAGGAACAGGGTCGACATCGTTCGAAATAACGTTTTCAAGTTTTTATATTACATGCATGATGTACCGAGTGTAAATTGTTACTATCGCTCAGAAAAGTATCCGCCTTTTAGCTGTAAGGCTTACCTTTATTAAGGTCATGGATTTCTTAGACATTTTATGTAATAATTCGAAAATCATGTAGTTATATTATCTGTTAAATTTATGGGTTTCTATTGTTTCAAAGTGTCTCTTTATGAGACATGGAAATTCGCACTTAATGTCTTTTACGATGGCGTTTAAACAAAATTTTATGTAATGTATTAATAATTTTATCTATAAAATTTTGTTGTAAATTGTTGCAAGCTCATTGGTTTAACGGGATTTTACAGCATAATACAAGGATCGTATTATGTTTTAAGGTTTGGTTTATACTTTGTTTCATTGTATTTATTTACTATCGATTCGGAGATAAAAAATATTTTAAATACACTTTGTAATTATTATCCTTTGTCATTGCAACAGTTATTTTAGGAAAGATTTATGAAGACTAATTCAGGCTTAATGAAATCAAAATAGATATATACTTTATAAAAATGATACAATAGAAGACTTGTAGAAGTTGATAATTTTTAAAGTGGACCATTGTATGGAATGGGTATACACCGTTGTCTTATATACATTGAATTTAAATTGTCGTTCGCTAGTTTAGTAATTGCAGTAAAAATAGTGATCATTTTAGCAAGTGATATTTATATTATATATTTATCATTCTCATAATGCACTTCACTATCATTAAGATAAGGGTTTTGTCATAAATTGATTGTGAAAGTGTAAAACGCTCTTGAATAAAAAGGTGGAGATTAATGTATAAAGAAAGAGTTATTAATAGTATAATGCTTGTTGTACACTAATGGCAATATATAAAATTAAGATAATGTCATTGGTGTATCATAAACATTGGAGTGCACTGGCTTGATTGTGCCTGAAACTCAACAATGCCGCTCCAAACCTCAAAATTACTTATGTATTCGTGTTAAATACTTGTAATGTAAGTAAAATCGGTTCGGAAGTACCATTAGTGTGGTAGCGTTATATTGGCGTTCAATATAGCTTGGCCCACGACTCGAAGAGTGATTGCATTATTCAGTTTTGACTAACTTTTATTTTAATTGGGGAAAATGAGCTAATCAGTGTGACGTTAGTGTCTAAAATAGTACAAATGAGAAGACTTATTGTCGTAAGACTCGGACTATTCATCAATTGCAAAAGCTAGGTTTGAGATGTATCCCTGTGTACTAGTTTTATTTTGTACTAAAAGTTAAAATAAATAAGTAATTAAAAGTGTTTTATTTTATTCTTAAAACCATGACTTATGCATTCGATTTAATTTCGAAGCAGCCATACAAATGCTCGATAAAATCATTGATTTGTATAACGGGGATTAGTATTATCTTTTTACATCCATATAATTATGAAAAAGTGTAAATATTTGTTTTTTGTATGTTAGTAACAGTATCCCCAAAACGACAAACTAAAAATATTTTACACACACTGTGTAAGGGTAAACACTAAACATGCTGTTAAAATAGTCCTAAACATTAACGGTCTTACTAATAAAAAATCACTATGCATGAGTTATAACAAGGTGATAGTTATTCAGTGAATAGAGCTTGTACAGGGCATAAACACCTCTTTGACCAATAATCGATGTGTATTGGTTGAATAACTAAACGACCCTTATTTATCGTTACCCTGGCAACCCGCCGTGTTTGATTGACGTTTGACTTAATAATTCTGATAGAAGTCATAATTCAAATGTAAGTTGTATTTATTTTAGCAACCAAAACAATTATATTCAGACAAAGAGGACTAGAATTTTACATAAAAAGCCACGTTCTGCAGTACAAAAGTTGGGAGAGGTTAGTATCAATGTGATAGAGAAAAGGACTATTTCATTCAAAAGCCCTCAACGATCATACTTAAATTTTTTAGGCATCTCAAATAGTGGAAAGTGCCAAACTCCGCAACACGGCAGTGTTCCAGTGTTTGCAGGAAGAGCATGAAACCAAACTAAGGCAAATGGCTGAAACACATGAGCTCAAACAGAAGCAACTTGCCGAAGCTCACAAATGGGCTAGACAGGAGCATCTTCTAAGGCTCAAACTATTACAGCAGCAATATAAAAAAAAATAAAACCCCTGTTTTAAATGAAATATAACTTTTTATTTATTTCACGTCTAACTATCCACACCTATGTAAATAAAACAGCTTTAAAAATATGTTTCAATAAAAGCAGCTCTAGCAGCTTGTCCAGCCTGATTGCTTGGGGGCGTCTAGGTTGGCCTTGGTTCTTCTGGAGCATTCTCAGTGTCATCATACGTAACATCCAGGTCTTCTTTCATATCAATAGCAATATTGTGGAGGATTGCCAGTGCTACTATATATAATTTGGCATTTTCTAAAGACACTGAGAAGCCATGAAGAAGACACCTAAATCGAAAACCATCCACCTCTATTACTCTTTTCGACATCAGCTCGCACTGTCACTGATCTTCATAACATACTTCTTTGAAAAGCGGTATTTTGTTTTGAAATCGCCATCCGAAAGTAATAACGGATTGCACCGAGTTTGGTATGTTTTGACTTTCCTTGGAGGCGGCAAATCTTCAATCGTATGTATTAGCTGCATATCAATATTATCTAAATCTTCCATTTGATCTATAAAATCTATTTTCAACAAACATAAATACCTACTAACTTAAATATTTCCTTGAACTAAACAGTCAAAAAATGCTGTCAAACGCGAAATCAGATCAAATAACGCAATTTATGTCCTATACACCCGTTAAACTAGGCCTCGGCGTTGTATAAGCATTGTACAAGTCTTCATACAAACCAGACACTTGTTATAACAGCCGTATACATCAAACGTGTCAATTCAGGAATTATTAGTAACATTTTTCTTATAACAGGCTTATACGATGTGCATAATTCTTTATTAGTAAGACCGTAAATAAATAGTCCTAAACACAATTTCTTGTTTGCCACCATTGGATTTGAGAAAAATGTGTGTTCATGAAAACCTAGACTTGGTATTTATTTTACCTGTGCTGAGAGATATGCTAAATATTGTATTTATTATGTAGAGGTAGTAAATGTGTTCAAGTTTAAGTGAAGGAGATAAACGAAACAAATATAACTTTGCAGTCTTGTATTGTATGTATTTCGTAAATAGTTTCACAAGCTTTTGCAAAAAGTTAAGATCTAATTTCTGAATCAATAAATTTATTCATGGACAAAATACGTAAAAAACATAGAGCTATTTGTCTAGGATGTAGACGACATTCTTGAGTATTATTTTCTTACGCAAGGAATAGAGTGCACCCTGAAGGTGAGAATAATCTTAATAATCCTATTTGATCCTACGAAATATTGGAGTCGATAAGTAAGACTACACTAATATTTTATTCTAGAAAATCACTTTTCAACAGGCGTGACCCCTAAGCGACAAATGAATTTGTGTTTTGTATTGGTCTAGTGACAAGGCGTGAGCTCATTCCTATTTCCTATTTACTCTGGCCCAGAACAGGGATACAATGAGATTGGAAGATGGATGGGTGCTAAATGCTAATGTTCTGAATTTAAACGCAGATAAAACTAAGTGTATTGCCTTCGGTATCCGTGATATAATTTTTGAAT